TGGGTGGTTTTGGTGACAGTGATGTTGTTGGGATAGTGTTGGAGTGATGGATGGTTGTGGTGACAGGGATGTTGGTGTTGGGATAGTGTTGGAGTGATGGGTGGTTTTGGTGACAGGGATGTTGGTGTTGGGAGAGTGATGGGGAGGTGGATGGTTGTGGTGATGGCAATGTTGGTGTTGGGACAGTAATAGAGTGATTAATCGTTGTGGTGATAGGGATGTTGGTGTTGGAATAGTGATGAAGTGAGTGATGGATGGTTGTGGTGACAGGGATGTTGGTGTTGGGATAGTGTTGGAGTGATGGATGGTTTTGGTGACAGTGATGTTGGTGTTGGGATAGTGATGGAGTGATGGATGGTTTTGGTGACAGTGATGTTGGTGTTGGGAGAGCGATAGAGTGATTGATTCTTGTGGTGATAGTGATGTTGGTGTTGGGAGAATGATGGGGACATGAATGGTTTTGGAGGCAGTGATGTTGGTGTTGGGACAGTGATTGAGTGATGGGTGGTTGTGGAGGTAGTGATGTTGGTGTTGGGACAGTGATTGAGTGATGGGTGGTTGTGGAGAAAGTGATGTTGGTGTTGGGATACTGATGAAGTGAAGCATGTTTTTATTGAAAGTTATGGTATTGGTAACATCAAGGATGATGATGGAAGTAGTGGAGGTTGAAGTGTGGTTTGTTGGTGAAGTTCATGATAAATGTGGAGGTAAAGTTGGAAGAAGTAATGGAGGTGCTTCTAACATTAGGTAATTGTTATGGCAGTAATGCTGATACTGGTGGTGGTAATGTTGGTGATGTCAGTGGTAGAGATGCTATCGGTGGTGGTGGTGTTCACAGAGTTGTTGGCAGAGATGAAGCTGGTGGTGATGAATGTGGTGGTGATGGTGGTGGCTTTGGCTGTGTGGGGAATCTGAGGGCATGGCATTGGTGGTGGCAGTGGTGACAGTGACCTGCAAAAGTGGTAGGCGTTGATTGGTGATGGAAGTCAACAAGATGGGGTGGCAACTATTGTTGTAATAGAAATAGAAAGACAACCCAGAGATGATTTAGCACACAATCTCTTTAAAAAACAGCTTTATTGAGATATAGTTAACATGCCACAGCATTCCCTATTTTAAGTATATGATTCAGTGGTATTTCATATGTTTACAGAGATGTGCAACCATCACCCTAATCATAAACATTTTCATCACCCTACAGAGAAAGCTCACAACCACTGGCAGCTGCTCCCATCCTCCCCCACTACCTTTTAAGTCTGTATTTAAACCTTATGGTTTGGGGGCCTGCAAACTATGAAACTTAAAGTATATGTTCCTTTTATAAGAAACACATCTCACTTCTTCCTCAGGTGCAACAACTTATTCTGCATGATAACTATAGTTCATATTAGCAACCTGAAAAAAAACAAAAGATGTAAAAACACTACTACCGTGGAATAACACATAACTCTACTCAATATATTTCATTTCAAAATTGGAATATTAAGAAAAATAGAGGAGAGTGCTCTTGTTTGTTTCTTGTGATAAATATAGGTCCTTAACTTATTATATTGCACATCTGGAAGAATAATAATCAAAATTTCTATCTCATTAACAGCCAATTGAAACATAGACTTTAAATATGATAGTCATCTACTTCTGGGGCTTGAGTTCAATCAATAAACTCAGAAACAGAGAAACTACATTGTGAAGGTGTTTTACATAGCATTTGTGGTAGTAAATAAATCCAGAAACAACAATATCCCAACAATTTAAAAAGTTAAATAAAAATAAAACATCAATATGACAGAATATGATATTTAAAGACTATGAAGTAGAGATGGGAATATAATTATAATAGCATATTAAATGAAAAAGAAAAACTCAGACACCAAATTGTACAGGACACAATCACAGCTATGTGGGGCAAAACACTTCACTTTAGATAAATAGACTTAAATGCATCAAAATGTGAATAGAGTTGCATTACATAGAAATAGTAATTGTTTAGTTTTATTATAAAACAAAATGAGATAATTTTTCCACACAATATATTGCAGAAGTATCAGCTAAGAAAAAATAAGCTTTATTTTAGAACTCACAGGACTAAAATGTACTTCTCCTAAGAAAAATGTAAAGAATGTTCTTTTTCTATTGAAATGGATCAGAATTTTAAAAACCTGTGTTGTCTATTATACTTAAGCTAGTTAGAATGTGTTTTAACCCATGGAGAGGAGAAAAGGAAAGATTTCTCCATCCTACCTGTGAAAACAGATCACAGGCAGGATTAATCCCGCCAAAATGGACGCACTACATGTCAGCAAGCAGGTGCCTTCATTCCTGTAGAGGATTTAACTAAATTTGTTGCTCTATGAAAACATTTTCTCAAGGCATTTGACTCCACTGTCTATACTTCTTGATCTGACAACACAGTCCCCACGCTGTGAATCCAACTTTCTATCTTAGGAAGACTTAAAGCCTCACGGGGAGCCCGTTGAACAATTAGAATATTTAATGGATGTAAACCTAATTTTTTAAAAATACTATTTTATTTGGGTCACTATAACTAGCATTAAAACACTATGTAAAATAGGAGAAATCTCTTTGTTGGTAAATTTGACTTATAGATGACTTTTGCAGGGACATTGATTGTATTAATTAGGTTACATAAATTCAATTCAATGGTTACAGCAAAATGATTTTCATGTACAGTAATTGAATTTTCAAAACATAGAATCTTGATATCTATTTCTAGATAGTGTAAAAAGTTATAGCCCATCAGTGCAAAAGCCAACGCATCTGTGGATTCAGAGGTGCATAGACATTGGTTTATAATAAAAAAAAGGTAGGAGCTCTTACACCAGGATCTGACTCCGAGCCAACAGATACAAATAAACAAATGGTTTATGTGACTGTTGCACTGACACCTGCTGGCACCATGAATATACTAAATTAGATTGGCAACTGGAATCCAAGAAAACCATAAATGGAGAAACTGCTGTGAAAAATAAAAATGATTTTACTACTCTTGGAGAAGCCAGACTTACTACTAATGACAGCCTGAGGCATGGAATCCCCTGGGAAGTTATTATTAGGCAATCCGTAAGTGTTTGCTGAACCCATCAATGCTACTCGTCAGCTCAAAACCTTCTCCCGATTTATTGTCTGCCCTCCCCCGGTCACATTTGGCAGGCTTTCAAGGTCTCGCTCCACCTTGTCTGTTCCCTCCTGTCTCACCGCCAGGCAGGTGCGTACCCTCTGCAAGCTGCACCCACCCCATCCTCCTTCCACTTCTCTGAGCCGTTCACACCACCCCATCCACCAAGCCCACCGGGGCTCTGTCTCTTTTCACCACTTCAGAGCACCCACACTTGCATTTTCTGGATACCTGCTGGCCTTCACCTTCCCACCGTGCATTTCCACACTTCATAATTCTCTACAGGTTCCTAAGTGCTTATTTCCTCTTTCCAGGTCGATTATAAGCACTTTCAGGATGGAGAAAGCTTTCAGAGCCCTGAGAGGCCTAGATCCATAGTTTGTACTTAAATGTATGTGTATGTGTATGTATGTATGTATATATGTATATACATATGTACATGTATACATATATACATATGTGTGTATACATATATGTACACACACAAACACATATCTGTTGACTGCCTGAAAGTCTATGAACCTTTATTCCCTAGAGCCTTATCTTGGTGACATTTGTATGCCACTTTTTTTTAAGACGAATTCTTGTTCTGTCACCCGGGCTGGAGTGTGGTGGAGCAATCTCAGCCCACTGCAACCTCCACCTCATGGGTACTGGTGATTCTCCCGTTTCAACCTCCCAGGTAGCTGGGACTACAGACACCCGCCACCACACCTGACTAATTTTTGTATTTTTAGTAGAGACGGGATTTCACCATGTTGGCCAGGCTGGTCTTGACCTCAAGTGATCCACCCACCTCAGCCTCCCAAAGTGCTGGGATTACAGGCATAAGCCACCGTGCCCAACCTTATACCATTCTTGAAAAGACTTTCATTTCTAAATAAGTCCTACACATCAGCCCAAATCCTGCTTTGACCCGGTGGACCGTTTTCACATCAGCAGAGTGGAGTTAGCACCAGCGTCTCTCCCACCCCCTATTTATTGACCCCCAAATGATTCCAGAATGACTCAGGGCTTCACAAAAGATAACCTTCCTATAGATGTGCACTCACCTTTGCACACCAATTTTCAGCCTGGAAACACCGTTATTCTGGGACATTTCCTTAGAATGTAAGCTTCATGAGGACAGGGGTCTTTTCTTTTGTTTTCTTACATTCCCAAACTCAATTTTGTTCCCTGGTGCCTGGAACAAGTCCTGGCACAGAGCAGCGAGCTCAAGAGGTCTTGCTGGGTGAAGGCCTGAGGGTCAGTCTCACCCAATCCCAAGGGTCCCAGAAATGCCACAAACATGATCTGTACGTTGACATTTTCTCATCAATTAGACTAGTCACCCAGGAAGCATGAAGGACAGGATGAGGGCGCAGGCTCCCAGGCCAGATGCCCAGGTTCAGATTCCCCTCCTGCCAGGATACTCGGGTGACCTCCTGTGTCCAATGACAGTGGTAGTAACCCTGGCTTAGAGGGGCTGGGAGGGCTGGCTGCGTTCACGGGTAAAGGAAGGGTGCTGGCACAGACCAAGCCTTGCACGTGGGTGTGCAGCTGCTACAGCACTACTGCCCAGCATCGTGACAATGTCTATCTTCATAGTCTTTAATGGTGGTTAAATACACCCTTTTTTTTGCTTAATACTCATTTTTTATGAAGATGAGTGTCTTCGTCAATATTTTGCACCCCTCCTAGCTCCAGCATTTAAGGTTTACATAGATAGGCTCAGTACTCAAAACACCTTATTCTTCTGATCTGTCTCGTCATCTATGATCTCTCTTTCCTGTGTATTTCTGCTTTCTTATGCGTGTGTGGGCGTCAATTTAGCTCTTGTCCTACCTCAGGACTTCTTCAGTGTGTTCTTTTCTCTCCCGTTCAGGCTCCCAAGAAACATTTGCAAAATGGGATCATCCGCGGCTACCAAATAGGTTACCGAGAGTACAGCACTGGGGGTAACTTCCAGTTCAACATTATCAGCGTCGACACCAGCGGGGACAGCGAGGTTTACACCCTGGACAACCTGAATAAGTTCACCCAGTACGGCCTGGTGGTGCAGGCCTGCAACCGGGCCGGCACGGGGCCTTCTTCTCAGGAAATCATCACCACCACTCTCGAGGATGGTAGGTTTGGCCAGGCCCTGGTCCCTCGTGGCTTTCCCTCTGCAAAGGTTCCCTCGTGGGCTCCCTCGGGGTTCCCCCGACTTCGCCCCCCAGGCCCCCGCTGACTTTGCAGTGACCTGCAGCGCCTGGGGTCTCGGTGGGAAAGCCTTCCCTCGTGACCTCGCCCTCCCTGGGCAGGGCTGATTGCAAAACCACCAAGTCCCTCCCTGTTCAGAATCTTCCTCATTCATTCCAGGTACAAGGATTGGGCTTTTCTGGAGTGAAACCAAGGCTCTACCTATGACTGCAGAAGTCTGACGAGAATGCAGAAATGCTATTTGCTAAAAAATTTTTCCCAAATGTTAAGAAGGTGGTTTTGTTTTGTTTTTTTTTTTTTTTTTTTTTTTTTTTAATGATTGCTTTCCATTTTCAAGCGTTCTGAGCACAGAGAAAAGGAATTTTCAGATCGCACAGTGATCGATCGCCCCCTAGCGGCCCCGATGAATTAATTCGCCCTCCCACCATAACACTGAGAAGACAGCTCAAATTTCCAGTAGTGCTTGAAAATAAAGACAGAACCCTGATGTCCAGAGAACAGTGTTTTAGGCAGAAAGATAAGATATGGGGTTATTTGTAGCAATAGTGGTAGCTTTGAAAGCATCAAGCTGACACTGCATTTACCTCTTGTGCAGTTAGCTGTTTGATCATAGATTTCAGGAGGCAAATATGACTTGCTCCTGTAATATCTGACAATTTTTGCAAGGAGAGGAGTATTTAATGAATTGCAACTTGAACACAGGAATTGTCTATCTTTATGGTCTTTAATAGTCGTTAAATATGCCCTTGTTTTGCTTAATACTCATTTTTTATGAAGATGAGTGTTTCAGTCAATATTTTGCACCCCCTCCTAGCTCTAGTATTTAAGATTTACATAGATAGACTCAGTACTCAAAATAGTTTAAATATTCTTCTGACCTGACTCCTCGTCTATGATCTCTCTTCCCTCTGAGGAAAGGGATGAGGATGAAGCAGAGGAAATCTGTGATTATATTTCTGCTTTTTAGTACTTTACTGAATAGTACTATTACAGAATAGTCGAGCTTCAAATGTATATGCCAGATATTACACAGAGGTATCGTACTCTATCAAGTAAATACAACTTAAAGAAGTAACTTGCAAGGCTAAGGGGAAGATAAATCAGGCAAACAATAATCTTCTCAGGCATTAAAATTAAGAAGTGTACACAAGTCAAGTCCTAACAACTGCCCTAAAAGTAAAGAAGCTAAGTTGAAAAGAGAGACCATGGAACCATGAGAACGTATGCATTGACTCATTATATTTTACGGAGTTATAATATTTATACAGAGAAATGATCTTTGTTTTTTTTTTCATTTGGGGGTTGAGTGCAACTTTTCTTGCTTGCACAGTGAAGTATTAAAATCTATTGCTTTTTCAGTATTGCTTTGCTAATAAACCACCCACGGTTACTACAGATTCTAATTATTTGATTTCAGTGCCCAGTTACCCCCCGGAAAATGTCCAAGCCATAGCAACATCACCAGAAAGCATATCAATATCCTGGTCCACACTTTCTAAGGAAGCCTTGAATGGAATTCTCCAGGGGTTCAGAGTCATTTACTGGGCCAACCTAATGGATGGAGGTAAGATGATTAAACTGGAACTTTGAGTTTGCCTCCAGAGAATGCATGATGGAATTTGCAGACCCCTCCTAACAAGGGGCTGAGGACATAGCAAGCATCTCTTTATCAATGGGCACTCTCCCCTTTTCTGTCATCTCTCATCCAACATTTGAACAGGTCTCTCTGTTTAAAACATCACACACCTTCTACACCCAATTTGAAGCCTATGGGGGGTGGGGGCACTTGGGAAATGTTGACATGGATGTATTTTCCTAATTATGAGTGTCTATGTCAAGGTTCTGCAGGCAGCAGCACCAAGACCTCTGTCTCTATCTAGAGCATTCTGTGTGATATGTATCCTAAAATGTTGGCCTCTTCCTATTTCCCAGATAAAACTGGGTGGGGAAGCATTAGCATTCCTGTAGCTGTACTGTAAGTGGATGGAGGAAGAGTCCCCAGGCACACGAGGGGAGCTCTTAGGAGGGGCCAGGAAGTGCACAGCCCTCCCCTTTTGGTTTTGTCACGGCTTCTCTTTCTCCTCTTCCTTCCCCTTCTCCTCCTCCCTCTTTTCCTTGTTCTTTATCATGTTTGTGTGTGTGTGTGTGTGTGTGTGTGTGTGTGTGTGTGCACGTGCACGCGTTGCAGGTTGTAGGACAGATTTTCCTGTTCTTTTAGGGCAAGACTTTGAATAAGTGACTTTCTCAAGTGACCATAACATTGGCGCCACAAGTTTCTGGAAGCGACACCTCAGTGTCTTTGCCCTCAGGCTGCGAGTGGTGCCCACCAGGCTGGGCCTGGCTGCATGAGTGTGCTGGGGGCAGAGCGAGGCTGCAGCCCCAGCAGGAAAGACCTCCAGGAGTCTGCTAACTATCTCTGTCCCAAGCCTAGGAGGCCCACACCTGCCTCCTCCCCTGCCTTCCATTTCCAGCCCTTTCCTGTGCCTTCTGCCCCTGGACAATGCCTCCCCTTGTGGTTGGGGCTTCTTATCTTTATTTGAGACAAGGTTTCCCTCTTTTTGCCCAGGCTGGAGTGCAGTGGCATGATCTCAGCTCACTGCAACCTCCGCCTCCGGGGCTCAAGCAATTCTGCCTCAGCTTCCCAAGTAGCTGAGATTATAGGCATGCACCACCACACCTGGCTAATTTTCAGTATTTTTGTAGAGATGGAGTTTCCCCACGTTGGCCAGGATGGTCTTGAACTCCTGGCCTCAAGTGATCTGCCTGCCTCGACCCCCCAGAGTGCCAGGATTACAGGTGTGAACCACCTTGCCCAGCCTGGGGCTTCTTTTAACCCCTCCAACTGGGTGTGATCCCTGATGAGTGCTTACCTCCAATTTTGGGCAAATGCAGCCAAGGGCCCATCCCTTCCCTGCTCAGGACCACCTGGATCTGTTCTACCAAGCAGGCTCCTGTTCCCATGCGGGTAAACACAGGGTACCCCAGGTGGCAGGAGCCTCCACAGTTTGTGCAACAATAAAAGCAAGAAGACACAGGAGCAGCAGAAGCATTGCTGAGTAAGCGGGTGCAAGCCTTTAAGCCTTAGCTCTGCATGTCCCTAATTGGATGTGTTTCTCAGGACTGAGGCCAGACCTGGTGCCTTCAATGTCATACGTAGTACCTGGAGCAGTACCCAGCCATGGGAGGCGATCTGGAAAGACCCCCTTGGTCCTGCAGCAGACACATTCACTGAACACCTGCTTGGCACTGAGCTCATGGAAAACACCAAGCTTGCTGGATCTGTCCCTGTCAAGGTTCTAGACCAGGGACTGAGGGAGATGTTAATGAATTCGGAACCACAGACCCAAGAAGGGACAGCCCCACAAAAGGGCAGATCTCAGTAGATGATTCTGTCACACCTTCCCTCTCCCACCCAAAGACAAGCTTTTAAAACACCACAGAGTAGAGAACAACAAAAATTTGCGAAAGTTATCTAATTTTATTGACAAAATACCATAGGATATCATTACATATTTTTGTTCTGATTTCTGCTCCTCATATTCAGTGGTTGAAATTAACACCCTAAACATTCTTCTTCGATAGTTAGTGTTATGCTGAGATTGTCTCTTCCATTGTTCTTGTTGGAAGTATTTCCAGAATCCAGTGGTGACTTCACGTGACCACATCACCCATATTTTCTAAGATCACTCACATTTGCTGACATTTCTGCTGGCATCTTCAAATGAGAGTCCTTCATACCTTTAAAGCTTTGAAAACTTGGATATTCAAAAACACAGTTCTTTAAATAAAGAAATGCTTGGGCGTGCAAACAGCTTTCTAAAGATACCTTCACTCATGGCATTAAAATCAAAGTGATGAGATTAATGTACAGTGTAGAAGTTCCGCACTTAATTTCCAAAAGATAAGCAAGAAACCTTCAGAAACACAGACCTGCCTGTGAAAGTCGCTCTTCCTGCCACCCGAGAGATATCCTCTACGACGCAGGTCCGTTCACAGGGGTACTGGACCCTCTTGCGCAAACTCCTCAGACTGTGGCCTCCAGGGCTGTCTGGATTCCCACAAGCATTGAGCAGGGAGTGACTGTGTAAAACCACATCTGGAGCAAACATCACAGTCACACTCCACACACACAAACACTCATCACAACATACAACACATAACCTGCACCATGCAACACATATGCCACATACCCCCCCACACCACACCAAACACACCACACACACACCACACATCACACACACCACACACACAACACACATGCACATACCACACGCATCACACACACCACACATGCACACACCACACATACAGCACACGCCACAGCACACATGTACCCCACACTTACACGCACCCATATACACCACATACCACACCCCCAGACACGTCACACATACACCACACCACATACCCCACATACACATGCAGACACACACCACACATACGCGCACCCCACATATAGCACACAACACACAACACATACACACCACACATACCACATACATATACCACACCTACAGACACATCCCACATACACCACACACCACATCACACACCCCCCACATACACCGCACACACACCACACACATACACACATCCCACACTCACCATATATGACACCACACACCACACCACACACACCCCACATATACATGCACACACACCCCACATACACCACACATGACACACACACACACCTCACATACACCACATACCACACCACACCCATACACACATCCCACACTCACAACATACCACACCACACACACCACACATACACATAAATACAACACATACACCACACATATGAAACATACCACTCACATCACACATACAGACACCCCACATATACCACACACCACACCACACACACCCTACATATGCCACACACCACACCACATACACATGCACACACACACCACACCACACACATACCACATACACCACACACACCCCACGTATACCACTCACCACACACCACACGCACACCACTCCACACCACACAACACGTGTAACGCACCCCATGCTACTCACAACACATGCCACATCACACACCGCACACATACACCATACTCACACATACCACACATACAGGCACACACACACCATGCACGTCACATACCACAAAACACCACACACACACAACACACATTCACAAAGACTGAGAGAGGCAAATATTGGTACTACTGTTGTAATTAGCAATGACCCCAATACTTTCCAAAATATGTCCAAGAAAGAATTCTCTTGTTAATGTGATCAGATGAAATAAAATATTTTGGTGAATTTTCTGATCTTTTTTTTCATGATCAGAAAATTTAATTATTAAGGCCTGACAGAAACAGTTTGAGACTGCTAGCAAAATTGTATCCTTTGAAAAGTTACCGTTTTCCTCTGAATTGTTGCTACCTTCCATCTCATCTGCCTTTCTTCACTATAAAAATGGTAAATTCTGAAAGGAAGCAACAGTTAGGTCCCAACTGGAGTGTGTGGGCAGCTGGGGGTTGCTTCAGAAGATATTCCCACACTATTTTGTTTTCTGCCTTAAAACCCTTTGATAACGAGGCAGGATATAAATAAATACACAAAACTATTTTGTTTAAAACAAAGTTTGTGATAGAAAAAAATCTGATGTCTAAATTTAATTTATATATCTTTTAAATTATGTTTCACTCATGACCTCAACTGAACAATACACTTTAGTGTGTGTGTGTGTGTGTGTGTGAGTTAAACAGCCCTATAGGGGCATGAAAGTTGGACTATAGAAATTCATGTTTAAAAAGAAAAAGAGCTAAAAGGAATGGCAAACTAAACACTCAGTTTTGTGTCTGGCTTTCTTTTATTTTCATCCTTTTCTTTTTATTTCTTCCTTATCTGCCAGTCACCCAGTATCTGAAAATACCCTTCCATCAGTGTTTACATATAAATGTTCTGGCAGAAAGAATCAACTCTGGCTCAGGTAGTTTTAGAAATCTTTGGGAACAATTTGGAATTGGGGTTTTGACTGCCATCGTGTTCATGATTCCTGATAAATTAGTTAATCAAAATGACTTGAACTTCCAAATGAGTAAACATCCAAATGTTAATTCTAATCAGCATAGTAACCATTAGCATTTTTAATCATTTTTAAGTGTTTGTTCTTTTAAGATCAGAGGCCAGGTTGCCCTTCTCCCTCTTCACCAGGCTCCTCCTCCTCATTCTGTCTGATTCAAGAGTAGCATGGCTGGAGGGCTACTTTCTCCCACACTGTGACACGATCCTACTTTCTCTGTGAGGCAGACACCCTGTGCTCTTGGGAAAAACAGACCTTCATCAGAGTCTCATACCCAGTTCCCAGCACCCTGCCCTGACCAGCCCCTCTCCTCAGCTGTCTTATTATTAATTTTGTTCATATATATGTGTAGGGGTGTGTGTGTGTGTGTATTTGACACAGTGAAGTTTCTAAATCTGCAAAGATCTTAATGAGTTCTATATTTAAAGTTTGTCCATTAACATTTGGACTTTTAGTTAATTTGTTTAAAGACAGGGTTTGGCTCTGTCATTGAGGCTAGAGTGCAGTGGCGCAATCAGGGCTCACTGCAGCCTCCAGCTCCTGGGCACCCGCAATCCTCCCAAGTAGCTGGGACCACAGGCATGGGCCACCATGTCTGGTTACATTTGGGTTTTTTATCCAAATCTAAAAGACTTATATTAAATATATTCAGGAAAAGGAAAATAATTGAATGTGGAAAGACCATTCCTTCAGAGATGAGAATTTCCAATCCATCTGGAGCAACCAAATATTGATATTTTGACTGCACGGTGACCACACACATGAGCAGACATTTTTCTTATTCTTGTAAGCCCTCTGTTGAGATTTCCAAATCGTAACCTCTAACAGCTGGCACCCTGCTGGCCTTTTTAGAAGACAGGAGTCCAAAGGCATGTCTTCGGGCCATCCTTCTCACCCTGCTCCCTCCTCAGCAAAGCCCCAGCCTACAGAACTGTCTGCTTCTGGTGGCCCCAGGCCTTCGGCTCCCACTGGGTCCTGGACTGTGAGTACCACATGGAGCCTCTTTACCCCTCTTCTTGCAACTCCCAGAAGGCACAGGGGCTCTCTGGCATGTGAAGGACAGGCTCAGCCATCCCATGCTGTATTTGCCATTCTTCTTTAATGCTGTATCCATTCCACATTGATCCTTTGGGTAACAAAAAAAATTAAATTGAACAAAAGGCATTCCACAGTCATCATAATCACAAAATATGTGGCTACGCATTTGTGAATTCTGTGCAATATCGAGGACACACAAGAGAAAATAAAAACCACAAACAGGAAGGAAAAACCAGGCAGGTGAAAAGCAAAAGCCCGTTTACTGCGACCAACCCGACAGCTCGTGGGTGCCTCCATTTTCAGCCCACTTTCTGCGTTTTCCCAGAGCGACCGAGGAGAGCAGCTCAGATCCGCAGCCCATGTCCTCAGCCGCTGTGCTGAGCTCCTTGAACCTCTCTGTCCCTTGAATTCCTTGTCTGTAAAATGAATGGGCTGCAAAAGTCATTGAATGACACTGCTGGTTGCATAAGTTACTATCTGTACTTAGGATAGCATAGTGCAGGCATGAAGGCGGGCATCCACGCCACGTCCACTCCCTGTACGGAGGCAAGGGACGGTGAGAGGGACTGACAAGCAGCTGGGATTGCTCTCCAAATGTAGCCAAAGCAGATCTGTTCAACAAGGAACTCCCGGACCTGCTGGTCTCTTGGGGTAACCGGCCTGCTCTGGGTACCGACGGGCCACTGACAGCCCCTTCCCCAAGGGGAACAGTTCTCAGGCCCTTCTCACGCTCTGAAGGTGACTCATTTCAAAAGCCATCAGCCGAACACCATGGAAGTACTTAGCACATCACTTGTAAGTTTTCTCAAATTGCCGTGTATAATATGCCAGAGATGACAGTGCATAGTGTTCCACCTGTGAATATTATTAGTGGATCCCACTCTTGAAAGTGAAGCATTTTTAGCTGACACCAAGTTTCTGACACATGGGCATGTCACTTTAGGATTGAAGCTGCAAGGAGTTCACTCCAGGTAAAAAGAGGGATTTGCTGAGCCACTCAGTTTAGCTCAGGTGTATTTTTTTTTTTCAATTTAAATATGTTGTCTTTTCAGCTTTATTAAGGTATAATCGACAAATAAAAATTGTATATATTTCAGGCATGCAGCTTATTTGGACATTTGTATCTAATGTGAAATGCTCGCCACAATCAATCTAATTCACAGCATGTCCACCTTCCCACATAGTTGCCATTTTCTTCCCCTACCCCCAAATGATACGAAGTTTCAGTTATGCAAGATGAATAGGTTCTGGAGATCTAATGTACAAAGTGGTGACCATAGTTAAAATTACTGTCTTATAAACTTGAAACTTGCTAAAGAGGGTAGATCAGATATTTGAGATGAAGTTAGGTGCTTAAAAATACATGTATGTTAAAGTAGAGTTTGTTTAAAATAAAAATAAAACCCCTCAGCCTGCAGAAGCTTCCTAGCAAATAGTTAGCAGTGGAGCTGTAGAGTGTGTGGTGTGGTGCCTGTGTGTGGTCCTAAGGGTGCTGCTGTGGGGTGCAGGGGACATTGCTCATCAGCACCTGCTGAAGGCTGAGTGGCAGCCCTGGTGCTGGCCTTGGGTTGGTAACCCTTAACTTGGAGCGAATTGCTTTGTTTTCCAGACTAATGTTGTGCCTCGTGTTCTGGAGTAGTTTGGTGTGAATGATCCTTTCTGAAGGGCCACATGGCACCATGAGCTCAAAGGATGACTGTGCATAGTCCCTTTGAGGAATTCCAGCGTCCAGATGATAGCTGGGTGATGGCATGGCACAGGGACAGTCGTGGGGATGGCGCGGAAAAACACGCAGAAATGGGCTCAGTAGTGGAATTTTGTTTTCTTTCCCTTGTCCTCCAGAGCTGGGTGAGATTAAAAACATCACCACCACACAGCCTTCCCTGGAGCTGGACGGGCTGGAAAAGTACACCAACTACAGCATCCAGGTGTTGGCCTTCACCCGTGCAGGAGATGGGGTCAGGAGTGAGCAGATCTTCACCCGGACCAAAGAGGATGGTGAGAAACGGGTGGACGGTGGGTCCCAGCAATTGCTGGAAGGGCTGGGTCAGGGACAGCTCACTTGCCTTAGCCTACAGTTCATCAGGCTATTCTCAGGGAAAACCTTTGCTATCCTCCCAAAATATCCCAGTGCAATTCAGAGCGTTAATTTTCTCTCTTGCCTTTGCTTGATGTATCTAATCCATTGCTTCTTCTTCCTCTATATTTTTTCTTCTTTCTTTTTTTGTTTTATTTTTTGGCCAAGTATTATTGTAAATAGAAATTCGTTTTATCCCGGAGCTGTAATAATTGCCATACCTGTTTTGTATCTTGTTAGAATAATTTTAGTGGCTCTTCAGCTATTAGCGTAAGCTCTGATTAAATCTGTCCTTCCACTTCTTGAAAATTATGTACAGGCTAAAGTTCTATTATTCTTTGCCAGCTGAATCACTTTAGAATAAGTCCTTAATTTGAGAACTTCATGTCGATTTTTTTAAATTCTTACAAGAATTCATGGTGATTTAGTAAAAATTTAAATTACTAAATTATTTTGTTCTACAACAATAATTCTTGCTGTTCCTTAAAGTTTCTATTTGGTGGTGTGGCTATTACCCAAATCTACAAAAACCATACAACAAAGATTCTGCATTATTTTAAGGGAAACTCTGAGGGGCCTTATCCATGCCTGTTTAAGGAACAAATGAGTTCCGATGAATACTACAGGGGTCATGAGAAAAGTAGCCTCCACCTTAATAAAGGAAGGAACAACTGATGTGAAATTGACACTCATGTAGAACCTTCCCAAAATATTCCAGCACAGAAGTATATGTTGAGATGAGACATTGGTAGACCTAAATGCTGTGCTGGATTGGCTCTGTAACTTTTGTCTCCTTGCCAGGACTCTGTTCCCCAGACAGTATAGGGATAGTAGAGCTGCTAGCGATTGCTGATCGCCTCCCATGTATGGGCAGGTTTGAGGTCTGTGCCATCTCTCCCGCTGCTAGAGAATCAAAAATGCTACTATTCCATCCCATATCTGTTCTGATAGAAGCAAGGAAGACCTGCTCAGAGGCCACAATGGGCTCTTCTCTTCAGCCTTTCTGCCCCGACCACGACTCCCTGCTGTTCTGAGCCTGCCATCTTCCACCTCACTCTCTGCTGTCACCTTGACAAGCCAGGCCTTGCTCCCCGAGCAGCCCCAGGCATCCACCCTCACCTGGTGCTTTTGCTGCCTCTGCAGCCCTTCTCATATTATAATGTCTACACCCAAACTAATCCTCATTTGCTTTAGTTTTTTCTAAAATGCACAGGTAGTTCTTCTGGGGAATGTGCAGGAGTCAGTCAGTTCTGCTCTAAGAAATTGGATTATTTAGGGAAATCTATGATTCAAATGTAATGCCATTAGGAAGTCACACATCAATAGAGATATCTAGAAAGCTAAGTCCTGAGTGAAGACAGCCATAATTTAACTTTTTTAAATGTAATAGACAAAGAGCTGTGCCAGTGCTGGCTCTGTCACCTGCTGCCTGTGGGACTTTGGGCACCTCAGCTACGCTTCTCTGAACTGGATTGTCCTCATGAACAACCTGCTGTAGCAATCAGACTGCACAGAACCAATGTATGAGGACTAAAGTGATACCTGAAAACACCTGCTTGCCACAGAGTGGGTTGCTTCCTGATGCTCAATATTTGATTATTTGCCCTCTACCCCTTCAGAGCAGGGATGAAATATTCTTTTTTACGTTGCTAGGCAATAATGCAAATGTCACTGGAATAATTATTTAAAGAGCAAACTGATCAGCCACAAGATGTTTTACATCTGCATTCTTAGAAGAATGTACAGAATTCCAGTAAAAAGGGAAGGCACTTGGCAGATCCTTATTAACTCACAAGTTTACATCAATTTTAAATTTGTCTTCTAGTTTTAAGAATCGTAGAGTTCTCTCTCAAAACTTGACCCCAAAGCTCAAGGTCTACTTTGTCTATCAATTATGCTTTGCTTTTGTCTCCAGTGCTGATAGTATATAGAGCTGGGATTGACTGTGAAAAACTCTGCCTTGGGAGCCCCAGTTACCCCAAGGGGGACACCATGGATCCCACTTTGCTGGTGGTACAGGACAGGGACTATGCAGAACGGAGTGTCAATATTTCTTTAGGATAAGTCTGCGTTTTCAAAAAGTGGAGTGGTGGATCACTTGAGGCCAGAAGTTTGAGACCAGTCTGGCCAACATGGTGAAACAGTCTCTACTAAAAATGCAAAATGAGCCAGGTGTGGTGGTGGCCACCTCTAATCCCAGCTACTCAGGAGGCTGAAGCAGGAGAATCACTTGAACCCAGGAGGCAGAGGCTGCAGTGAGCTGAGATCATACCACTGTACTCCAGCCTGGGTGACAGGGAAAGACTCTGTCTCTGGGGGGAACAAAAAGGTGGAGTGGAGATTGGGCAGAAGAAGAGGAAAAACTAGCATAATATGAGTTTATCTCCCCGATTCACATGTAAAATTCTATAGTTTAGAAATGATGAAGAATTGTGCCAACCACTTTTTCGTAGACTCAACACCTGATATAATTAGACATTTCATCAGTTTACAGAATTAAATATAATTATATTTGTCTGATTGGAAGAAGGAACAAAGGCCAATTGTCAGAGAACAAATACCTAGTCGAATAGACTACAGATCCTATTTATATGTCAATGAGAAAGATTCGTAATTTTGAAGTTTGGATTACACTTGCAATTTCAATTAAATCGCGTAAAATACAGATAGATTTCCAGTAAAATCATAATTTCCAACATTTATTCAGTTCTTTCTCAATGAGACACTAGTTTAGGCACAGGTTGAAGTTTTAGTGTTTATCAATGTTCTTGCAAGCAAAGCAAGATGAATACATTAACAGTGAGCACCCGATTCAGTTGGTCTCTGCCAGACACACGTCCTGCACCAGTCTTCCTAGTCTAAGGAGCCTGGAGGCTTAAATTGTGTTGTTAGGTCACTGGTCACACTAAAAAAAGAAACTTAACCACTCATAAAGGCAAAAATTTACTTGCAATAGAAATGTTTATTTAGAGAATAAGTCTGTGCTTTAAGTAGATTCCCAGCCTCTATCTAAAGATTCTTGGGCTCACAGACATATTCACATGTCCATGGACATGTTCTCCTGTCTGCAGTCATAATCTCAAGGCCACAGACACAGTCTTTTATCCGTAACTATAGTCTCAGGTGCATGGACACATTCTCATGTCTGTGGTCAGAGTCTCAAGGCCATGGATATGGTGTTTTATCCATAAACATAATCTCAGGTGCATGGACATATTTTTGGGGTCTGTGACAACTGCTCACAGTCCACATTCTCTTTCCAGGACTGCTCAGTCAGTGAGAACTTGTACCCCTATTATTGCTGCAGAAACACAAGGATGACTTGGTGATCTGGCTTTCTGTTTTTGAGCACAAGAACAGCTAATTCTGACTTCTAAAACAGTTGTGAAATCCTAATGCCATTTTATTTGCCAATACTATAATCTGAGCAAAGCCGTAAGAAAAGAGAACACAAACAAAGTGCAATCTATTAATCTTCCAATTGCTATTTTCACTCTGCAGGCAAAAGCTACTTTCAGCCTTGATCCCTTTACACAAGAGTAAGCTTCGCATATGTGTAAATAGAGATAGTTAAGTTCAAATATTTACTGAACACATCACTAATGCACATAACCCTGAAAGCACATGGAGAGGGCCAGCAGCAGGTGTCCTATGTAATCTCTGCTCCCTGCCCACCGTCAATTAACAATCTCACTGGGAGGAGAGCTGAAAGTAGAGCTAAGGGGATCCAAACAAATAAGCTGACATTTGGATACTTCCAAATCCTCTGACCAACCGTACCTGAAGCTGTACATATTTTTGAAGACATGGATAGTGTGTGCCTGCGCACGTGTGCTGGGGTGATGATGCTGCCACGCCTCGGTCCACCTGAAAGGGGGTAGATTGCATGTTGTATTTGCATAGCCACCAGCAGCGCTGTCCCTCAGTAGACACTGGGAAGTACTGCCAATCAACACTGCGTAGGATTCGGGGCTCTACAGCCTATGACAGTGTGCCCTGTGCAGTAGCAGGTATGCCAGCAACACAACAGCCAAGATGTCCCAGAAGAGATTCTACCAAGTGGCTTTCCAAACTCCTTCTGCTGCAGTGGTTCTCAAAGTAGGTTCTTATATAACCCAAGTGTTCTTGGGTGGTACCCAGTGGTAAGCAAGAGGCCCAGTGGGATCTTCTCTTTCTGATCCCTGCCTCAAGAGCCACCCCACTCCCATTTGTGTTATGTGCTGGGTTTCTACATGATGTTTAGGTTAAAGGATCAATGAAACATTTAAAGAATGTTTGAAAACTCCTGCTCTATTAAGAGGAAAGGCTAAAAATACCAGCGTCTTGTGGACATAGGAAGAGAAAGGGGACATGTGTACATTGCTTGGTGAGATGACAACTGTGAACGTGACATGCTCCTCCAGGAACATAGCATCTGCACTGCACGGAGAGACCACTGAAGAGTTGTGGGGGTCTCAGAAGGATCTGCCTACCATGGTGTACCACATATGTACCTGAATGTGTGTGCGTGCACATGTGCGTGCATACACACACACACACACACACACACACACACATCTGCCTGTGGCTGTCTACTAAGACCAGAAAAATGGTGGTGAAAAAAAATGAAGCTGACTGCAGTGTCTGTGTAGTGTTTAGTCAGACTTTTGTCTGATATTCATACTTCAAACCAAGGCAATACTGTTTCAGAAAAATGATTTTGATACTTTACGTTAAGATATGTTACTGGAAGGCTTACCCACGTGTATTTATTATCTGTGCTGTGGAACAGGTTGCTATGACCTTACTACCTTAAAACAACACAAATATATTATCTCATGATTTCCAAGGGTCAGGCATCCAGGTCTGGTTGAGCTGAGTCTTCTGCTCAGGGTCCCACAGGTGAATCAAGGTATGGGCTGCAGCTGTGCCCTCATCTGAGTTCAGAGCCTCCCAAGCTCACGGGTTATGGATGGAATCATTTTTCCTGGTTGTGGACTTGAGTCACCAGCTTCCAGAGGCTGCCTGTTACTCCCTTTCACACCCCTGCAGAATGGCAGCTTCCTCCTTCAAGGCCAGTAGGAAAGCCTTACACGGCTTCCAATTCCTCTGACGTCTTCTCTTCGAAGGGACACATCTGATTAAACCTAACCCACTGGGAAACTTTCCTTTTCATTAACTGAAAGTCAAGTGATTGGGACCTCAATGATACCT